TAACAAAAACAGAGAGACAAATCAAACCAAAGCAATAAAACCCAAACAACAAATAAAGTAAAAAAGCAACGAAAACATAACAAATAAATCCAAAGCAACAAATAAAGCCAAAACAACGAAAACAATGACATCAGTAGAAGTAATAAAAGACGGAATAGCAAGAACAAAAAAAAAACATTTAAAGGAGAAGCAGTGACTGAAGCACAACTTGAGAGGCTCCTCGCAGGAGGAGAGAAGGAGGAAGAGAAGAGGAAGAGGAAGAAGAAGAGAAGGAGGCAGAACAGGAGGAGGAAAGGAATAGAGAGACACATCAACAGCAACACCTCGTGGCCACAATATTGGAAACACCACAAACAGAAGAAATATGGGGTATAGGAGACAGAGGAGGAGAACAAGAAGGGGAACACACGTCGAGCAAGTGAAGGAGGCAAAGGGTATAAAAGAGGGTAGAGGAGAGAGAGAGAGAGGAGGAGGAGACAGTGGAGAAAGAGAGATGGAAAAGAGAGGAAGAGGGGCAGAGAAAGAGATAGAGGGAGTTAAAGAAGAGGGACTTAGAGATCCTGGAAGGTTCTTCGAGACATACACAAAGGAGGGTGAGTATGGGGTAGATAGAAGGATGGAAAGGGAGAGGGAGAGGGAAGAAGGGAGAGGGAGAGAGAGAGAGAGAGAGAGAGAGAGAGAGAGAGAGAGAGAGAGAGAGAGAGAGAGAGAGAGAGAGAGAGAGAGAGAGAGAGAGAGAGAGAGAGGACCAGTGGGAGAGGGTGTCGCCGTGGCCCCGCCGAGTGTGTCAGTAGTGAATAATTCTTGGTTGATGCGTCTCACAGTCTTCCGGTCCCGCCTCTATTACTCCTCTAGGAGAGGAAAAAGAGGGGTGGTGAGGAGGAAGAGGCGAGTAAGAGATTTCAGTGAAGAGAGAAAGAGAGAGAGAGAGAGAGAGAGAGAGAGAGAGAGAGAGAGAGAGAGAGAGAGAGAGAGAGAGAGAGAGAGAGAGAGAGAGAGAGAGAGAGAGAGAGAGAGAGAGAGAGAGAGAGAGAGAGAGAGAGAGAGAGAGAGAGAGAGAGATAGTCTCTCTTATAGAGAGGTATATGATTCTCCTTATTTAACTACAAACTCAAAGCTGTTATCGTACAGCATCTCATCTCTCTCTCTCTCTCTCTCTCTCTCTCTCTCTCTCTCTCTCTCTCTCTCTCTTTCTATCTCTCTCTCTTCCTTTTTCTTGGTTTCTCCCGCAAGCTCTCCCTTCCCATCGTTTCGCTCTCTCTCCCTTATCGCATCAATCATTTTATCCATCTCACCCCCCTTCCCTTCCCTTCCTCTAGCCCTTTATTTTCTCCCTCCTCCCTCTATTGCACCTCTTGAACCCTCTACTTTCTGTCCTCTTTTATCACGTCTCTCTCTCTCAATGTTTGCTTTCTCGCTTTCTTTCTTCCTCTATTACTTTATTCTGTTTGTTCTCTTTTTCTTATAGTTGCTCTCACTTCGTAATTCATGTTTTTATTCATTCTTTCCTGGGTATTCTCTCTTCTTTTTGTCACGCCTCTTCCACCCTTCTTCCATTCCATCTTTTTCCTCTCCCACCTCTCACACCCAATCTCTCCCTTCCCTCCTCTCCCTTTTTCTCCATTTAATTAGACACCCCTCACCTTTCCCTACCCTCCCTCCCATCCCTCAGTCCCCATCCCTTCACCCTCTCCTCTCCCTACCTATCCAGAACCCTACCATCCCCTCCCAATCTATCTATCCCCCCACTTCCTTTCATATCTCCTGTCCCTTCATCTTAATACCGTCCCATCAACCCCCCCCCCATTAGAGCCCTTCCAGCGCATCATCCCTCTTCCATCCCCCCTCCCATGGACAGCACTATGGGAGGGGCTGGGAGAGAAACAAGCACAATGAGTTATTGCCAGCATACATCGGGGCTTAAGCACCTTGGCCAGAGTAAAAATAGAGTGGCTATTGAGCAGGGGGAGGGGGGGAGATGGGGAGGGGGGGATTGGGGGAGGGCTGGGCAGGGGTGGCAGGGGGGGAGAGGGGGAAGAGACAGGGGGGGTTAGTGGGGGAGGGGCACAAGGGGTAATGGAACAGTAAGGGAGGGGGTATATTGTGAGAAAGGGGGTGAGGTAAGATTGGTGGGAAAGTGAGGGGTAGTGGGGAAAGTAAGGGGGGTTAGGGGGGGGGGAGAAGTTAAAGGAGGTGTCTGTGGGGGGAGGGGAGGGAAGGTAAGATTCGGGAAGCCAAGATTGGGGAAAGGGAGATGGGTGGTGGGGAAGAGGAGGGTAGTGGGAAAGGGCATAGGCGTGGGTAGATGAGGAAGATAAATAGGTAACAGGAAAGGAGTGAGGATAAGGGAAAGTGGAGGATAGGGAGAAGGGAGGGAGGCAGGATGGAAGAGATGACAGAGAGGACTAAAGTGAAGGGACGACGACGTTTCGGTCCGTCCTGGACCATTCTCAAGTCGATTGTGTCCGTCCTTCTAAACACTTTCCCAACGTCAAAAAAAAACTGTGGTACTAAAGTGCCCCCTTATCCTAACCTACCAGAGGAACCAAAACAGAAAACGAGACAGTACGTCCATTTCGCGAGCCGCTACCAGTATCCAGTACGACAATTTTTGGCCGTAGGTAGAGTGTACGTCAAAAATGTGACCTGTTAGGAGGACGGGTTGGATTACAAACGACTACTGCGAACTCAGTGAGTACTTTATTTACTCCAAGAAAATATTTTTACAAAATATATGTCTTAAAAGAAATTCAGGAACACAAAATTCGAATTCTTTCTGAAAATATAACTGTCTTCATTCAAGTAATCAAACTGGAATTTGCTTCAACAATAAATTCTGATCCACTCAATGGATTCATAACGAACGCGGAATTTTCTGGTTTTCTGGCGTTGAGAGAGAGAGAGAGAGAGAGAGAGAGAGAGAGAGAGAGAGAGAGAGAGAGAGAGAGAGAGAGAGAGAGAGAGAGAGAGAGAGAGAGAGAGACCAAGCAGGGTCCTCGTGTAATTTATACAGGTCCATCATACAGTGTGCCGGAATTTACACACACACACACACACACACACACACACACACACACACACACACACACACACACACACACACACACACACACACACACACCCGAGTGTGGGTGTGTGTGTACCCGAGCTGAGAGGTATGAGCTACGAGGAGAGACTACGGGAATTGAACACACTTCGTTGGAAGACAGAAGAGTTAGGGGGGACAGATCACCACATTCAAGATTCTCAAGGGAATCGCCTATTTAACACAGGGGGCACACGCACTAGGGGACACAGGTGGAAACTGAGTGCCCAAATGAGCACAGAGATATTAGGAAGAACTTTTTTAGTGTCAGAGTGGTTGACAAATGGAATGCATTAGGAAGCAATGTGGTGGAGGCTGACTCCATACACAGTTTCAAGTGTAGATATGATAGAGCAAAATAGGCTCAGGAACACACACGGTTGAGAGGCACCAAAGAGCCAGAGCTCAACCCCCGCAAGCACAACTCCGAGACGGTGATCGCTTCTCCGTCGAGTGATTTATAATTTGTAAGACAAACTTCAGATTTTCTTCTGCACCGTCAGGTCAGGTCAGGTCAGGTCAGGTCAGGTCAGGTCAGACGACATGCTGGCAAGACTAAAACCCGAACTTGGACCGAAAATCACAATAAAACTTAACATTATGATAACCTATCCCCTGAGGGAGGGGGGATATGTTATCATAATATCTCCTGGGCAGGCCCGGGGGGGGGGGGGATATTATGGGGGAATAAAAGTGTTTTGTCATGTTTGTTTCATTTGGTCTCTGTCAGAAGGTTTGCAACAGCTTCGGGGGGGGGGGGGGTGTCGTTAGCGTCAGTCTGTCAAGTTAAGCATTACTGCGTCTGGCGAGTCAATGGATTGGGTGATCTTATTATCCCCTCTCTCCCACCGGCTGCTATTTACCTCAGGGAGTAACTTGATAACCAAACCAGCTTTCAGTTCTACTGAAATTTCTTCCTAGGCTCAGGAATATGTACATCGGTTGAGTGACAGTTGAGAGGCGGGACCAAAGAGCTGAAGCTCAATCCCCCCGCAAGCAAAACTAGGTGAGTACACACATTCACGCACACCCACACACACACACACCCTGGTCGGAGCTTTAACAGGTGTGTACATGTGGTCTTCCACAGGTGTGTACAGGTGTTCTTTCACAGGTGTGTACAGGTGTTCTTCCACAGGTGTGTACATGTGTTCTTCCACAGGTGTGTACAGGTGTTCTTCCACAGGTGTGTACAGGTGTTCTTCCACAGGTGTGTACAGGTGTTCTTCCACAGGTGTGTACAGGTGTTCTTCCACAGGTGTGTACAGGTGTTCTTCCACAGGTGTGTACAGGTGTTCTTCCACAGGTGTGTACAGGTGTTCTTCCACAGGTGTGTACAGGTGTCCTTCCAACGACGCGTCATGATATCTTAAAATTAAAATTTAAGTAAACATTCGAGTCGACAAATTTCACTTTATAAGAGATGTCTTCCTCGTAGACTCTTCAGTACTTCTGTGTGTTTCTTCAGAGAGGATGTGCTACGACAGCCAAGATTAATGTGAGGGAGAGTAATAAATCAGAGAGAGAGAGAGAGAGAGAGAGAGAGAGAGAGAGAGAGAGAGAGAGAGAGAGAGAGAGAGAGAGAGAGAGAGAGAGAGAACGAGGGGGGAGTGTAGAGAGGGCGCCATGGGCAAGCGATGAACCACTTCGATACGAAACCGAAAATCACGTTTTCGAATCTCTTTCGGAGCAGAAACAGTTTCACAAACCCATGCCATCAATGCAGGGGGACAGCATTGATGGCATGGGTAGGATACGAATGAGGCTTTGATCTGTCTAATCTACTGTAGCGAAATCCGTCCAGTGCACCCACCCACACACACACACCCTGACACACACGCACACGTAACTAGAGCCAACCAACACTGCACCTAGACAGGTCAACGCTCTCTAAAACTCACCTGTAATCCTGCAGAGGTGAGACCATACGACAAGACGGTGGAGATCACGGAGCTGGAGGTGCCAGAGTCGCCCAGGGCCGGAGACGACGTCACCCTCACCTGTCGCTTCAAGCTGCACGGCAGCGGACACAACCTCTACACCGTCAACTGGTGGCGGGGCAAGGACCAGTTCTACACCTACAAGGGCACCAACCACGACTCCAAACATGCCTTCACCTTTCGCGGTATACAGGTGAAAGTGAGTAGTGCAACCATGCTTTCTTGCCAACCATGATATCTTGTAACCATGCTTTCTTGCCAACCTTGCTGCCTTGTAACCATGTTGGCTGTCAACCATGCTGCCTTGTAACCATGCTGGCTGACAACCATGATTCTTGTAACCATGCTGGCTGACAACCATGATTCTTGTAACCATGTTGGCTGGCAGCCATGCTGTCTTACAACCATGCTGTCTAGAAACTCCCTATAATCCTCCATTGAGGCGACGACACTCCCTATAAACCATCACATATCGACCACATAAGGCGACTACACCCCTATAATCAACCAATAAGTTAAGAAAATACTCAGAATCTTATATATTGTTAGATAACGAGATCTGATCTCATTCCATTGCTTGCGGGGATCGCTTTCACGAAACTAATGTTTAGTGTTTTGATAACACTCAATATCGCTATTATTATTTTGTTCCCAATGTTTTCCTAGATGTCAGGTCATGTATTTATATACAGAAATTGAATGAATATGTTTAATAGATAAGGCACATGTTTGTTTGTCAATAATTTAGATATACTGTCTTTCACATTCTCTCTCTCTCTCTCACTAGAAGGAGGAGTCGACGCGGGAGTCAGTTGTACTCAAGAACGTATCTGAAGACACTTCAGGGGTCTTCAAGTGTGAGGTGATGGGTGAGGGTCCATCCTTCAGGACAGCTGTCGAGACCAAGGTCATGAATGTCATAGGTGAGTGATGGGGGAATGGATGGGGGATGTAGGGATGGGAAAGGTGATGGTATAATGGAAGGGACAGTATATTAAAAAAAATGAAACAAGAAATATGGCGCACACGACAAAACGTGTTAAAGTAGAATTATATACCTTAACAATTATATACTGCAAAATACCCACATGACCAATGGGAACACTGTTGTATAACAGTATCTTGAGAACAAAATCTCTCAATTTAAGACAATATGGCACAAAATAGGCCCAGTTGGCCCTCTTCTCTAACATTGCAACATAAAATGCAATTACTAAAAGGTGACCGCTTCCCCCCTATCAAAAGAAGGAAACTGAATTAATACCAACCCGGCCCCACACAGTCAAGCAGCCTCAGTCTGTGTCCCACTGGAACGACCCAATACAGCAAAATGACCGAGGGACGAGAAGCCCCTATACGGCTGGGAACTGGCCAATTCCAGAGTCCGGCTCGGCACCGACCTTGGCACTCACATACATAGTTGGCATTGTTCATTTAAGCTGGTAGATTGGCACTCAGGGCAGGCCACTCTGTGCTATGGCTATCGTTAGGCTTGGCTCCCCTGTTTCTACGTGTTTATGGAAGTCGGTCTGTACGTCTGTTTATAATGGTGTTACTGATCCGGCCGTCTGTCTGTGTCTCTGTCTGTCTGTCTTTGTCGCTCTGGGAGACGGGGAAGAGTAAGGCAGAGAGAAGGGCGTGAGGAAGATGATTGACGTGCAGTAAACAAAGGAAAGTGTGAGCGAGTGTTGGGAGAGTGGAGTGTGTCGGGGAGAGAGTGGAGTGTGTCAGAGACAGAGTGGAGTGTGTCAGAGAGATAGTGGAGTGAGCAGTTGGTGAGAGAACGAAATGTGTCGGAGAGAGCTTGGTGTGTGTCAGAGAGAGAGAGTGAAGTGTGTCAGAGAGTTGAGTGTATCAGAAAGAGTGGAGAGTATCAGAAAAAGAGTCGAATGTGTATTAAAGAGAGATAAAAAACATGTCGTTACTTCAGAGAAGGATAAATGTTTGGGATTAGAACCACAGAACCACGTAGGAATAAAGAGATTAATGTGTGCAGTAGTGGAGAGGGGAGTATGTGAGTGGTAGATATGTAGTGGCCGAGATTGGGGGAGAGGGAGGGGGATTACATGAGTGGGAGGGGGGGGCAAGGGGAATACAGGTATATGATTGGGAGTTATAGAGGTATATAGAGTGAGGTATGTACATGTGAGGTGAGGGTAGAGCCCGTTGGGTATACGAGCTGGGGTGTGAGTGGGAAGTATAAACTGAGAAAAAACTGAGAAATGACAGAGATAGAGATATTGATTGACTGATAGATTAGTTTATCAACAACTGACGGTTCATGCTGTTACAATAGCACTTAGAGGGCAAGTGCTTTCGTTTTGCCCTCTAAGGACGGAGCTGAAGATCTGCTTCACTGCTTCAAGTGTTGCAGGTTATTGAGCTCTCAACCATAAATGGTAATTTAGGGCAGGATTTTAAAAATGACACTTCAGAAATAATGCTGACCAGCCTATATTATTTTTATCTTTAATCCATAGACAGAATTAGTGCACTTTGGGACACTCAACCACAGAGAGCAATAGATGTTCTTTTACAAGTTCAAGCTATAATTGCATTTCAAATTACATGGTAAATCTTGGGTACAGCTTCAGTATATCAAGTTTTCAAGTATTCAGATGATATTTACAGAGCTTAGCATATTTCAACCCACGGGGAGGGGGGGGCGGAGGCGGAAGTCAGTCAATATGGGATATATTCTACGATATAATGTTCAGAACATATTTTTTTGTTTCATTTTCACAACGTTGATACTGAAAGAGAGGGATGTGGAGGATTATACAGGTGAGAGGGATATGGTGAGGGGGGGGAGGTGACGCTGGAGAAAGGGATTTGTAAAGTGTGAGAAGGGTGTATGGGTGTAGAGAGAGAGAAGGGTGTGTGGGTGTAGAGAGAGAGAAGGGTGTACGGGTGTAGAGAGAGAGAAGGGTGTGTGGGTGTAAAGAGAGAGAAGGGTGTGTGTGTGAGTGTAGGACAAAAAAGGGCCAGTGGGTGTAGAGATGGGTGTGAAGCGATAGAGAAAAGGGTGCGAGAGGCGCTGAAAGGGACACTGTAGAGAGGTACAGAATAGTTCATCAATTAACCTCTTACTCCATAATAACAAGATGAGCAACAGCACACACACAGTACACCCAAACACCGAGATATTTCACAATGAACAAATCCACAAGGGCCGTGACGAGGATTCGAACCTACGTCCGAGATCATCCCAGACGCTGCCTTAATCGACTGAGCTACGACATGGTCAAAATCTCTGTGTAACAGAGATATTCCATTCCGGGATTAATTTCCCATTCATAACCCATACCTTGAAACCTTTATGTATGATTTTTGTTTGGGGGGGGGGGCGTGAACATCTAGTTACACCTAAATGAATAAACTAGCATTATTATTCATCCCCTGTTGTGGAATCTCCCATGATTATAGCTCAGTGATCTAGATAATACAACCAGCATTTCATGATAACTAACGAGAGTAGCCTCTCCGTTTATTAAGATATTTTAACAAATTCATTTCGCAAATTAATCAAATACCAAAAGGGCCTCGTTAGCGCCCACCTAATCACCAAGAGTGCCACTGAAATCTTACCTAAACCATCAGAAATGACAGTTTAAAAACCTTGCTGTATAGCCACCTAGCCTTAAATTATCTTACCGAGCCATATGGCTGACCCCTTAAATCTTAAACCATTCATGCAGAAAGGCCTTCTAACCACCTATCCCCTTCACCTATCCATCCCCAGTGCCGCCGAAGACTGTGGAGGTACACTCCTGGGCCGACCCGGACCCGCCCACCTACCGTGCGGGTGAAACTATCCAGATTAACTGCACGGCTAGAGGCGCCAAGCCCAGAGCTCACATTATGTGGGAGATCAACGGAAGACCGGTGAGTTGTGGTGAGTTGGCGGCCATGGTTGTGGTGAGTTGGCGGCCATGGTTGTGGTGAGTTGGCGGCCATGGTTGTGGTGAGTTGGCGGCCATGGTTGTGGTGAGTTGGCGGCCATGGTTGTGGTGAGTTGGTGGCCATGGTTGTGGTGAGTTGGTGGGTCATGGTTGTGGTGAGTTGGCGGCCATGGTTGTGGTGAGTTGGCGGCCATGGTTGTGGTGAGTTGGCGGGCCATGGTTGTGGTGAGTTGGCGGGCCATGGTTGTGGTGAGTTGGCGGGCCATGGTTGTGGTGAGTTGGCGGGCCATGGTTGTGGTGAGTTGGCGGGCCATGGTTGTGGTGAGTTGGTGGGCCATGGTTGTGGTGAGTTGGCGGGCCATGGTTGTGGTGAGTTGGCGGGCCATGGTTGTGGTGAGTTGGCGGGCATGGTTGTTGTTAGTTTGCGGGCCATGGTTGTGGTGAGTTGGCGGGCCATGGTTGTGGTGAGTTGGCGGGCCATGGGTGTGGTGAGTTGGCGGGCCATGGTTGTGGTGAGTTGGCGGGCATGGTTGTGGTGAGTTGGCGGGCATGGTTGTGGTGAGTTGGTGGGTCATGGTTGTGGTGAGTTGGCGGGCCATGGTTGTGGTGAGTTGGCGGCCATGGTTGTGGTGAGTTGGCGGGCCATGGTTGTGGTGAGTTGGCGGGCCATGGTTGTGGTGAGTTGGCGGGCCATGGTTGTGGTGAGTTGGCGGGCATGGTTGTGGTGAGTTGGCGGGCCATGGTTGTGGTGAGTTGGCGGGGCATGGTTGTGGTGAGTTGGCGGGCCATGGTTGTGGTGAGTTGGCGGCCATGGTTGTGGTGAGTTGGCGGGCCATGGTTGTGGTGAGTTGGCGGGCCATGGTTGTGGTGAGTTGGCGGGCCATGGTTGTGGTGAGTTGGCGGGCATGGCGGTTGTGGTGAGTTGGCCATGGTTGTGGTGAGTTGGCGGGCCATGGTTGTGGTGAGTTGGCGGGTCATGGTTGTAGTGAGTTGGCGGGCCATGGTTGTGGTGAGTTGGCGGCCATGGTTGTGGTGAGTTGGCGGCCATGGTTGTGGTGAGTTGGCGGCCATGGTTGTGAGTGAGTTGGCGGCCATGGTTGTGGTGAGTTGGCGGCCATGGTTGTGGTGAGTTGGCGGGTCATGGTTGTGGTGAGTTGGCGGGCCATGGTTGTGGTGAGTTGGCGGGCCATGGTTGTGGTGAGTTGGCGGCCATGGTTGTGGTGAGTTGGCGGCCATGGTTGTGGTGAGTTGGCGGGCCATGGTTGTGGTGAGTTGGCGGGCCATGGTTGTGGTGAGTTGGCGGGCCATGGTTGTGGTGAGTTGGCGGGCCATGGTTGTGGTGAGTTGGCGGCCATGGTTGTGGTGAGTTGGCGGGCCATGGTTGTGGTGAGTTGGCGGGTCATGGTTGTGGTGAGTTGGCGGGCCATGGTTGTGGTGAGTTGGCGGGCCATGGTTGTGGTGAGTTGGCGGGCCATGGTTGTGGTGAGTTGGCGGCCATGGTTGTGGTGAGTTGGCGGGCCATGGTTGTGGTGAGTTGGCGGGCCATGGTTGTGGTGAGTTGGCGGGCCATGGTTGTGGTGAGTTGGCGGCCATGGTTGTGGTGAGTTGGCGGGCCATGGTTGTGGTGAGTTGGCGGGCCATGGTTGTGGTGAGTTGGCGGGTCATGGTTGTAGTGAGTTGGCAGGCCATGGTTGTGGTGAGTTGGCGGGCCATGGTTGTGGTGAGTTGGCGGGCCATGGTTGTGGTGAGTTGGCGGCCATGGTTGTGGTGAGTTGGCGGGCCATGGTTGTGGTGAGTTGGCTGGCCATGGTTGTGGTGAGTTGGCGGGCCATGGTTGTGGTGAGTTGGCGGCCATGGTTGTGGTGAGTTGGCGGGCCATGGTTGTGGTGAGTTGGCTGGCCATGGTTGTGGTGAGTTGGCGGGCCATGGTAGTGGTGAGTTGGCGGGCCATGGTTGTGGTGAGTTGGCGGGCCATGGTTGTGGTGAGTTGGCGGGCCATGGTTGTGGTGAGTTGGCTGGCCATGGTTGTGGTGAGTTGGCGGGCCATGGTTGTGGTGAGTTGGCGGCCATGGTTGTGGTGAGTTGGCTGGCCATGGTTGTGGTGAGTTGGCGGGCTATGGTTGTGGTGAGTTGGCGGCCATGGTTGTGGTGAGTTGGCGGGCCATGGTTGTGGTGAGTTGGCTGGCCATGGTTGTGGTGAGTTGGCGGGCCATGGTAGTGGTGAGTTGGCGGGCCATGGTAGTGGTGAGTTGGCGGGCCATGGTAGTGGTGAGTTGGCGGGCCATGGTTGTGGTGAGTTGGCGGGCCATGGTTGTGGTGAGTTGGCGGGCCATGGATGTGGTGAATGGATGGGGAAATGTAAACCGCATTGAGCGATTCGATATTGAATTTCGGTTGTTATTCAGTTGGAGAGTGAGTGTTATGTGTTACTCATCCTCTTCACGGTGAGTAAACATAGCAGTTTTAAAGCGTTACTCAGCCCCTTCCCTGTGATTTACTCATTGGTGAGAACCTGTGTGTGGATGATGAGAGTCACATAATGTGAGTCTGTCGAGTAAATGTATTATGGAAGGAATGTGTGTGTGTGTGTGTGTGTGTGTGTGTGTGTGTGTGTGTGTGTGTGTGTGTGTGTGTGTGTGTGTGTGTGTGTGTGTGTGTAATTACCTAAGTGTAGTTACAGGATGAGAGATACGCTCGTGGTGTCCCGTCTTCCCAGCACTCTTTGTCATATATTGCTTTGAAACTACTGACGGTCTTGGCCTCCACCACTTTCTCACCTAATTTGTTCCAACCGTCTACCACTCTGTTTGCGAAAGTGAATTTTCCTATATTTCTTCGGCATCTGTGTTTAGCTAGTTTAAATCTATGACCTCTTGTTCTTATACTTTCAGGTCTCAGGAAATCTTCCCCATCGATTTTATCAATTCCTGTTACTATTTTGTATGTAGTGATCATATCACCTCTTTTTCTTCTGTCTTCTAGCTTTGGCACATTTAATGCCTCTAACCTCTCCTCGTAGCTCTTGCCCTTCAGTTCCGCGTGTCTTTGCACCTTTTCCAGTTTGTTGATGTGCTTCTTAAGATATGGGCACCACACAACCGCTGCATATTCTAGCTTTGGCCTAACAAAAGTCGTGAACAATTTCTTTAGTATATCGCCATCCATGTATTTAAAAGCAATTCTGAAGTTAGAAAGTGTGGCATAGGTTCCTCGCACAATATTCTTTATGTGGTCCTCAGGTGATAGTTTTCTATTTATAACCACCCCTAGATCTCTTTCTTTATCAGAATTCTTTAAAGATTTCTCACATAATATATGGGTTGTGTGGGGTCTATGTTTTCCTATTCCACATTCCATAACATGGCATTTATTAACATTAAATTCCATTTGCCAAGTGGTGCTCCATATACTTATTTTGTCCAGGTCTTCTTGAAGGGCATGACAATCATCTAAGTTTCTTATTCTTCCTATTATCTTAGCATCATCAGCAAACATGTTCATATAATTCTGTATACCAACTGGTAGATCATTTATGTAGGCAATAAACATCACTGGTGCAAGAACTGAACCCTGTGGTACTCCCTTTGTGACACTTCTCCAGTCCGATACATTGCCCCTGATCACTGCCCTCATTTTTCTATCAGTCAGAAAACTTTTCATCCAGGGTGTGTAGCTGGGGGGGTATAGGAGGGGGTGCTGGGGGGTGTAGCTGGGGGGGTGTAGCTGGGGGGGGTAGCTGGGGGGTGTAGCTGGGGTGTGTAGCTGGGGGGTGTTTTGGGGGGTGTAGCTTGGGGGAGTGTAGCTGGGGGGGTGTAGCTGGGGGTGTGTGTAGCTGGGGGGGGTGTGTAGCTGGGGGGGTGTAGCTGGGGGTGTGTAGCTGGGGGTGTAGCTGGGGGGGTGTAGCTGGGGGAGTGTAGCGGGGGGGTGTGTAGCTGGGGGAGTGTAGCTGGGGTGTGTAGCTGGGGGGTGTAGCTGGGGGTTGTAGCTAGCTGGGGGTGTGTAGCTGGGGGTGGGTGTAGCTGGGGAGGTGTAGCTGGGGGTGGGGGGTGTAGCTGGGGGTGTGTAGCTGGGGGTGTGTAGCTGGGGGTGTAGCTGGGGGGGTGTAGCTGGGGGTGTGTAGCTGGGGGAGTGTAGCTGGGGGTGTGTAGCTGGGGGGTGTAGCTGGGGGTGTGTAGCTGGGGGTGTGTAGCTGGGGGTGTAGCTGGGGGTGTAGCTGGGGTGTGTAGCTGGGGGGTGTAGCTGGGGGGGTGTAGCTAGCTTGGGGGGTGTAGCTGGGGGTGTAGCTGGGGGGTGTGTAGCTGGGGGGTGTAGTGGGGGGTTTTGTTGGGTGTAGCTGGGGGAGTGCAGCTGGGGGTGTGTAGCTGGGGGTGTAGTGGGGGTGTGTAGCTGGAGGTGTGTAGCTGGGGGTGTAGCTTGGGGTGTGTAGCTGGGGGGTAGGGGGGTGTAGCTGGGGGGGGGTGTAGCTTGGGGTGTGTAGCTGGGGGTGTGTAGCTGGGGGTGTGTAGCTGGGGGTGTGTAGCTGGGGGTGTGTAGCTGGGGGGTGTAGCTGAGGGGGAGAAGGGAGTGAGATACGGGGAGAGAGAGAGAAAGGGGGAGAGAGAGAGACGAATGGAATAAAAGATGGCAGTAACAATGGGAGAAGAATAGAGAAGTTAAAGGGGTGTCTGAGTGGGGAGGGGAAGGCAAGGTTCGGGAAGCCGAGATTGGGGAACGGGAGATAATGGTGGGGAAGAGGAGGGTAGTGGGGGAGGGCATAGGCGTGGGTAGATGAGGAAGGTAAATAGGTAACAGGAAAGAGTGAAAGTGGTTGACGTGTGATGAAAGTAGTGATGATGGGTGGTGGAGGGAGGAAAGGAGAGTAGAGGGATGTAAGGGAAAGTGAAGGATAGGAGGAAGGGAGGGAGGTAGGATGGAAGAGATGACAAAGAGGATTAAAAAAAAAGATGGGAATAGGTGGTCAAAGCGAAGGTGAGAGATTAGGGAAGAGAGAGATGGAAGAGGAGATAAGGGAACATAACGGTAGAGAAAGGAAGAGTTGACTGGGCTGTCGTAGTGAAGTGGAGGATGTTATCCCTTACATACAGGATTCTCCCTCTGTTCCTCTGTCCCTTTCTCCCTTCCTCCCTCCCTCCCTCCCTCCCTCCCTCCCTCCCTCCCTTCCTTCCTTCCTTCCACTCTTATTTCCTTCCTGCCTTCCATTCTCCCTCCCTTCCTCTTTCTCCAGATGTTCTTAGTGACCGTAGAGGGTGGTGCAGTTGTTAGTGATCCCAGAAGGTGGTAATGTTAACAATGACCCCCCCCCCCTCACAAGAGGGTTGTGGCAATGTTTGTATATAGTGACCGCCAGGTGTTAGGGGGGGATGTTGATGACCCCAGAAGGTTATAAAGATGTCGTTATTGACCCCAGAGCGTGGTGGAGATGATACTAGTGACTTCACTCAGTAATCGCAATACTGTTAGTGTGTTCTCTTTCTTCACTTTTCACTTGGGGAACCGAATTTAGGACGAATCAATGTAGATATTGTGACGGAGTTCCCCCCCTTATAATTCTCCCACGCCTGCAGTAAGAGTCATGTCTACTTTTCCCAAGCGTTCTCTACGTTGCAGGCTACAATTTGATATATGGGAGAGAGTGAAGTGTTCTCGGAGACCCGAGAAATTTGTGAAATAGTAATATTTTGGCCTGTGATATAGGCCCTTTAGGGAGCCAAGATGGCGCTTACCTCCCTGATCTCCCGCCAAAACCGTGTGACGTCAGTGGCACCGGATTGGTCACCGACAGCAATGTGGCACCGGGAGCCAATGAAAACTTCCCGTAGCGAAAGTGACGTCACGAAGGAAGGGGGTCCGGCCAGCGCGCCACTCTGGCGCCATCAGTCAGACACGACACGTCATAGAGGTCGGACGTGCGACGGTTGGTCCTGTCAGTTGGACAGTAGTTTCCCGCTCCCGTGGATTTACGCGTCACCTGAAGTCCGCCAGTACTCTGAGAAGTCTTCCCTAGTTCATGTGTTGAACCAGAAGAGGGAATTGACGGTTATTTGAGCAACAAGTGCTCCAGTCAGGTGCTGTGCAGGAAGCAGTGAAGCCGTGCAGTGACGTACGTGACGTCTGTGGCAATTCACCTGTTCGTGACAGCGTAGTGGCAGACAGAGCCACTGGGTAGCTGAGGAAGAGAGGACTATTTGGGGAAATTGGACGACTGTAGCTGAGACGTAGGCGACAGCCATTGCTGGGAGAAGACGACGGCCAGGAGACCGACTCCAACCTTCAAGAAGTCAAGAAGGAGGACGGACCTGCAGTGAGGAGGCACGGAGACGACGCGCTAAACGGTGGGACGACGAGAGGCTCTGGTAGGACACGACGACGTGTAGTGTGGGGGCGTTCCCGACACGAGGACCAGGAGCTACATCTCGACTCTCATCGGAGGATAGGGTGAAGTAGGTGTTTCTAGTTCCCTCCCCATTCCCCTTTAGTTAGCTATATTATTCGGCTATATTATCTAGCCTGAGGATTTTATATGTCGTGAGCAAGTCTCACCAATGTCACGGTAAAGTACCAGTGTGCTAGACAGTACTATCAAGAGTACTTGTAATATTCATGTTGATTATTGGTGTGTACAGGCACCAGGAACTAGTGATAAATTTACTGTGTTGTGTATATCTTTCTATAGAGTTTGATATGAACATATAGTAGTAAATTATATATAATATTATGCCAGTATTTGAAAGTTAGGCTGTGTGCCCAGAAATCATTTATTTTCCATGTATTGATATTTGATGTGTCTACATTACATATGCTATGTTCATGCAGTGATAAGTCGTTTGTGAGTACAGTGAATTATTGAGTTATCGCCCACGAGAGAAAGTACTGAAAACTCCAGTGTTAATATTTCATAATATATTGTTGGATGAATAACAGTGTAAGGCCATTACAGTGAGTCATTATAGCATTGATTGTAGAAAAGACTGTTTGAGCCTGAGTACAGTGAAACCAAGTGATACGTGTTGTTGTGGCCAATATCGAGTGTGCGAGTTTCTAGTAATATTGGAGAATTTAAAGAACAGCGCGCGTGAATCTAGAAAACAAGCAAAGCTTTCGTGCGGAAAGGCAAAGGCGATCAGCTGGTTCTTGACACTTGATGAGGGGGGGGGAGATGTTGCCCCCTTGGTGATCGCATAATATCCGTGGGAATTACCGGCCGCGTCAGGATCAGTTGATTAATTGATTATTGTTTGGCTTTGTGACATCTTTCATACATTTTAAGTAAAATACAAAACTATCTTTGTGTTTATATCATCCCCTCCATTGATCTTGTGGCTATATTATACTGGTAAACATAGAGTGATAACAATAAGTACCTGCCTGATTCCTGATCTTTTGAGTGTGACCTTGCCAAGGCTACCACTGAATACACCAGTCCACTGATGGTGTTACTGGCCACCTAAAACACCAGTTGGCGACCTTGTGATTAACCGTAGAGCCCTATTGTTGGGGAGGACACACGACAGTCAAGTGCACGAGTCGTGTTCTCACTCTTTCTTAATTAGAGGCCGTTAAGATTGACTGGGAGACTCTCCTGGCGTGCAGTGGCGCAGTGAGGATCGAGTGAAGACCCGCAGGGCTACGGTGAGTTACCTTGGGCATAACTATTGCTCACCCCAGAGTAAGGGTAGAGAATAATAGAGAGGTGAAACCCCAACAATATAAATATATATATTTTAATTAGGGAGGCCATCCTTGTTGACCAAACCACCGTAACTCTCTGCTTCCTATTGCTTAGATACTCCCTTATCCACTGGAGCACCTTACCAGCTACACCTGCCTGTCTCTCCAGCTTATGTACCAGCCTCTTATGCGGTACTGTGTCAAAGGCTTTCCGACAATCCAAGAATATGCAGTCCGCCCATCCCTCTCTTTCTTGCTTAATCTTTGTCACCTGATCATAGAATTCTATCAAGCCTGTAAGGCAAGATTTACCCTCCCTGAACCCATGTTGGCGATTTGTCACAAAGTCCCTTCTCTCCAGATGTGTTACCAGGTTTTTTCTCACGATCTTCTCCATCACCTTGCATGGTATACAAGTCAAGGACAGTAGCCTGTAGTTCAGTGCCTCTTGCCTGTCGCCCTTTTTGTATATTGGGACCACATTCGCCGTCTTCCATATTTCTGGTAGGTCTCCCATCTCCAGTGACTTACTATACACTATGGAGAGTGGCAAGCAAAGTGCCTCTGCACACTCTTTCAGTATCCATGGTGAGATCCCATCTGGACCAACAGTCTTTCTAACATCCAGATCCAGTAGGTGTCTCTTGACCTCCTCTCTCGTAATTTCGAACTCTTCCAAGGCCGCCTGGTTTACCTCCCTTTCTCCTAGCACAGTGACCTCACCTTGTTCTATTGTGAAGACCTCCTGGAACCTCTTGTCGAGTTCTTCACACACCTCTCTGTCATTCTCTGTATACCTGTCCTCGCCTGTTCTAAGTTTCAATACTTGTTCTTTCACTGTTGTTTTCCTTCTGATGTGACTGTGGAGTAGCTTTGGTTCGGTCTTGGCTTTGTTTGCTATATCATTTTCAAAACTTTTCTCTGCTTCTCTTCTCACCCTGACGTACTCATTCCTGGTTCTCTGGTATCTCTCTCTGCTTTCTGGTGTTCTGTTATTTCGGAAGTTCCTCCACGCCCTTTTGTTCAGTTTCTTCGCTTCCATACATGCCCTATTATACCATGGATTCTTCTGTTGCTTCTCGGATTTTTCCTTTTGGGCCGGAATGAACCTGTTTACTGCCTCCTGACACTTTTGGGTAACATAGTCCATCATACCCTGTACAGACTTATCTCTGAGGTCTGTGTCCCAAGGTATTTCACTTAGGAAACTTCTCATCTGTGTGTGTGTGTGTGTGTGTGTGTGTGTGTGTGTGTGTGTGTGTGTGTGTGTGTGTGTTTGTGTGTGTGTTTTGCAACAAGTGTTAATAATATATGTAAATGAGTAAATCATGTGTTTAAACACTTTGTAACATTATGTCTTTCCATCTCATTTGTCCTCTTAACCTTCCTCCCTCCCTTCTGTCCCTCCATGACCCCCCTCCCTCTCATCCTGTCCCTCCCCTAACCCCTCCCTTCCTAACCCCTCCCTACCTCATTGTCTCTCCCTACCTCCCTCCCTCCTCAGGTGAGAGATCTCAACGTGGTGAAGTATGCAGACTTCGAGGACCACCGAGGGAGAGTGACGACCACTCTGGGCCTCCGCTGGATGGCCCCAGAGTACTTCCACAACAACATGGCCCGGGTCACCTGTCGGGCAGCTGTGGCCGGCCACTCCACCACAGCATCCAAAAATATTTATCTCGACCCAGCATCCAGCGCCGCCTTCAACCATCCGTACGGCTCCGCAGGTGGGTGAGAGTTAGGTTTGGGTTCCCAGCGTGGGTATGGGTTGCCATTGGTACGTAAGAGTTTCTAGGGTGGGTATGGGAGGAGTGTGTGTGTGTACTTTGGTCCAGATGAGAGGTGTGGAGGGTAGTCCACTGTACGAATGAAGGCTAGCTCAGAGGGATTGAATGGGTTGACGAGGGTTGATGGATGATGCTGTGATGGGGTTTTCACCTGGTTTTACAATGAATGTATTTTGTACTGTGGACGTAGTTACATTGCGACTGGAGGTTGCTTTACTGTGATTAAATTTTTATTTTTATTATGGTTAGAAGCTGTTTTACTATGATTAATTCATAGATTAATTCATTAGAGAAAGTTTAGATGTGATTAGAGGCGGTTTTACTGTGGTTAAGAAGTAGTTTCACTGTGATTGGAGGCAGTTCCACTGTTACTTTAGCTAACCTTGCTGTCACTGGAGTCTGTTTTGATGAGTTTCAATTGTTTTCTGTATGAAATTTAAGTCTTGTGTATGTTTAGATCATTTTACATTATGAGCAATATTTCCATCATTAGTGTCGTAAACATCATGTTAATACAATGACTGTAGTCACAGCTGTCAACATCATAATACAATGACTGTAGTCACAGTTGTCAACATCATATTACAATGACTGTAGTCACAGCTGTCAACATCACAATACAATGACTGTAGTCACAGTTGTCAACATCATATTACAATGACTGTAGTCACAGCTGTCAACATCACAATACAATGACTGTAGTCACAGTTGTCAACATCATATTACAATGACTGTAGTCACAGCTGTCAACATCATAATACAATGACTGTAGTCACAACCGCCTTCACTATCATCATCTTCATGCCCATGGCCACATTCATCATTTATTCTTTGATTGCCTCGTAAATCCCTCAACACCTCTTTACTTCAACATCAATAAACAATTGCATCACCCAGGATAGTATAGGTGTGGCAGGTTAATTAGAGTAATCAACCCTGGGAAACGTAACGTCAGCAGGCACTGAAAACAGAGTATTTCGCCAATTACTCTCCTCCCCTCTCAATTTAGGCTCGCTAATTAGGTCATTATCCAGCTGTTAATTAGGCCTCACACACACCTCCACGTGGTTTATACCAAACGTTTTCCAGATATGCAACGAGAGAACCGGTAACAGGATTTGATATGCAAAATATAATTCAAGATGCATTAATAATAATTGACGGAGTGATAACACTATTTCATTATCATGGATGATATCCACTATGAATAAGTAGACTGGGACGGAAGGAACCCTTGTGGTGAGACTGAAACATGGAGAGGAAGGCTTTTGCTGCTATTGACTAGATTAGATGCTCCCGGACGCAGGTTCAAATCCTCGTCACGGCCCTTGTGGATTTGTTCATTGATTAGATTGTTTTCTAAACCAATGTGTCAAAGAGCAAACAGCTGGCACTCAACGGGGGAAAGAATAGGGGCGTGGGTCAAAGTAAGGCAGCCTAATTATCAGGAGAAAGTGATAAGCCAGTATGACCATATAGCACTTGGAAGGAATATAGCACATATAGAAGAGATGATACAATATCCAGTCACTCTAACCACTATATGTCACACTCGGACTCTGAACAAAATGAAAAAAAAGAGTAATGTCGTCGCTCTACCGACCAGTCAATGTAGATTAACTATGTTGAACTGGGTAAAGGAATTCCAATCCTTCAAGTGCAAGAGAGAAAAAAAATTAGATTAGCGGAAGAGATCAGAATTGAAAGTCAACCGGAGTACTTAAGTCGTACAGTGCACGACTAAGACCTGCACCATTCCTGATAAATATCAAATATTAACTGTGCAATCAAGATGCAACATGTCAATATTACTCAAATGGCGGGAATATGATGGGATAAATTATAACAGAAGAATGTTACGAGTGCTTCAGAAGGACCTGACATAACTCTAAGAGGTGGTGAAAAGTGGCTGCTTGAATCTAATCCAAGCAACTGGAAGGTGATGCGATTGGGAAAGAAAGTTAGAAGGATTTAATAACATTTCACACGATGAGGGAAGATGACTGCCTGAGGAAGAAAAGGGGAAACAAATCGAGGAACTAGCGTCCTGTTCAATCCTCTAAGAACATCAGCCATCTAACCAGAGGGCCAACAAATTTACAATATAAAATTATCAGCACTCGCGAAGTTGTCGAAAATTCGTGGAGGTTTCAGGGACGTAGACAAGGTCCCTGAAACGTGGTCCTGAATCATAGTCGTGATTCAGGACTATGTTTGAGCCACGCTAGCTAACCTATGTCGCCCCAGCCTACAATCCTCACCATAAAACACAGGCCGGAATTAAAGGAATTTCAGACTGCTCAGTAAACAATTCAGAACTGAGCAGTTGGGAGAGGCTAAAAAGAGATAAACCTCACTACACTGGAAGAAGAGCCGTGACAAAAGCGAGATTAACACAACAAACACCGACAAAATATAGAGAAAACTGCGAGAAAACGAAAAAGATTTAATAAGACAATCATCAGTGTAATAGTGAGCACGAGGAATAAACAAGAGGATGAAGCAACAGAGGCACCTGACAATGCACAAACAACAAGGCTCTATTATATACACAGTCAGACCATCACCAGAGATATCCTCACCAACAACACCAAAATAATTGACGGATACACACAAAAAAAGAGATTAGACATAGCCGAAGCACTACATATCAAATACTCATCCATCTATCAACACCCAACTAACACTTGAGTGCGTCCTACCATCAGCATGACCAAGGCAGTTGTTTCCGGTCACACCAATTGCCTCAGCCAACCAGAGCAAGCTTACTCACCTTCCTCGACAGCGTAACCAGCATGGAATATATTTACAACTTTTTCTGTTATAAAATTGCAACAAAACGTGTCCTTTAGCGAGACGCGTCACGATATTAAATGTGTGAAATGGACTTTTGAATAGTTAATGTTTCAACTTTTCTCCTAAGCGAAGTAGAAATAGAGAATATTCCTGCAAGACTCAGTTATCTAAACCTCTCTGGGCGCTCTAAAGGTCTTCCACGACACCAGCGAGGATCAAAGATCTCTCTCTCTGGAGTGCTCCGAGTGCTTACGGCGTCCTGGAAGTGCTCTCTGGATCTCCTGTGTGCTCAGGGATCCCATAAAAGCCCTGAGTCCCTACGGGAGTTCTCCCGAGTGCTTAAGGCTTCTCAAGGTGTCGCAATGCTGATTCAGGTTAATGCGGGCTAATCAGTCACATTAGTCATTAGTGTGACTAATAATACACCTGACATTAAGTCAGTTGTGCTCACGCTGCTTAATGACGTCATGGGCTGCTTGGGTTCGCCGGGAACACCTCAGGAGCCCTGAATGTGGGTCTTGAGTGCCTGAAGATGCTTAATGAAACACTCTTCTTGGCCGGATTCTGGGCATCAGTCACTGATCTCTCTACTCCTATTGCAAAACGATTGGACATTCCATTGGTTTCCTGTTTAAAATGTGAATCCTAGTTTTTTCCAGTTTGTGCTTTAGGCATGAGTGAGAGGTTCACCCACTCGAGTTCATTAGTAGGGGAAACTGAGATCGGCTTTAAGGGTCAAAATACTTAGGACTTAGTTAAATCATCTTGGGTGAAGGTAGACCCAAGGAAAAAGTCTTTGATTTCAGGTAATTAGCGTTTCAAGCAAGAACGAGGTGGTGGTAGTAGTAGGAATGATGGTGAAAATGGTGGTAGTGGTGGTGGAGCAGGGTGTTGTAGTGATTGAAATAGCCGTAGTTGAGATAGTGGTGGTGCAGATGGTGGGGAGGGGTGGGGGGGTTGGATCAGGTGATGGTGATAGCAATGGTGGCGCAGGTGAAGGTACGGTTAGTGATGGTGATTGGTAATGGTGATATAGTGAGGGTAAAGTGGTGGTAGAACTAATGATGGAGATTCTCATACTTATAATAGCGGAACTAGTAGATGGCGTTCTGGCAGAGACAGCGGTGGTGGTGATGGTGATGGTGGTGATGGTGATGGTGGTGATGGTGCAGGCTGTAGACAACTCTGCTCCAGTGTCATTTAAACTGTTTCACTGTTAGTAGATCTCTGTACCAGCGTCAGTAGAGCTCTGGTCCAGTCTCAATAGAGCTCTGTCTCTAAAAAGTTTCTCTATTAGCCTGCCCATCCCCTGACTGTCTTCTCATATAAGTGGAGATATCATATTTATAAGTTCAAACGTGATATCTGCATCCTTCGGTGTTATTTTACTGACCTGGTGCCTCTACCTAGTAGCATTGTAACGGGGGGTAGGGGAAATAGCTCTCTCTTGTCCATTATTCCACCATTCAACTCTTGTTCCATTATTCCACAGGATGCATTCGACAAAGTTAACGCAGTGTATTCTGTGTTGAAAACTGACACTTTTCTCGTAGATTTTTATTGTTATTCATTAGCATTTTGTGTATAGATAGGCCTCCGTTAGGTTAGATGTTTATAGATTCCGTCGGCAATGATTGGCGTTGATAGTACTTTGTGAAGGATTTAAAGACGTGATTAGAGAACACAATCGTGAGCCGAACACCGTTGAGATAAAACTCGAATGTCGCCGATTGTTAGTCAAGTCGAATGTTTTGTCGGCTGAATTAACAAGCATTTTGGCCCTTGTTCGTGAAGACGAGCTGCAGAAATCAGTTGTTCTATAACTTGAGGGGATAGGTGGTGTTCTATAACTTGAGGGGACAGGTGGTGTTCTATAACTTGAGGGGACAGGTGGTGTTCTATAACTTGAGGGATAAGTGGTGTTCTATAACTTGAGGGCCAGGTGGTGTTCTATAACTTGAGGGACAGGTAGTGTTCTATACCTTGAGGGGCAGGTTGTGTTCTATAACTGGTACTGGTAATGTGGCCAAACAACACCAGGGTTCGAAACAATTGACCAAAGGTCATTCAACTAATGACCAAATTTAATGAATGAAAAGTGCTTTCGAAATGCATTCTAACAGTGCATCGCCCTCTTCCTGTAA